ATGCGATTCTACAAGCTGCATCTGACTATGTCAGATGAGCTAAAAACTATACAATCTTTAAATGCTGTTTTGGAACGTAGGATTTTGTGGAAGACACATATTACAACGCAATATATAAAGTCACACCTGAGGATTATTTGCGGCTGAGGGATGTTGAAAGCACTCTCACTCTAAATTTCCATGACATATACGAGGTAAGATTCGTTAGAGTCTCGTTGCTAAGTACTTATGTCGTAGCGACTTGTAAAACATCAGCAGTCTATGACCAGCTTCTCTCATAAAATAATATTCTACACGTAAAACTCTACGCGCTTCAAAGAAGTCTAGTTCGAGTTAGTCTAGTTTGCCGCTAGGTTAGTGACAGAGCCTATTTGTGATTATTCTATGCATTTCCTTGGGTAGAGATCGCATGAATGTCTGCTGAGGAGAGACCGTTGGTTCGACTAATCGCTCACAATGCGCTAGGAATCTTTTCGTGACAATGATACAAACCCCGAACGCTGTTCCTCCGTCGCGTGAGGCGGTGTAGACGACGACAGCTAGTGGAACATTATTTGCGGCCCGTCGCGGACATTTCCGTTTCTCGTAACAGGTTTTGGAGCGGATTCTGGTCAACATAGAGTCGACATCGCACGAGGAGCAAACGTGGCTCAGGAAGCTTGAGAAATACCTCGCAATCTCCCTGTTCGAAGCAACGCAGGTTCGCTTGGCTGGCGCCCTAGAAGTGTCAGCTCACATTCGATACAGACAGACAGTAACGTAATTGCAGGCAAACTGGCAAGATGCTTGTCTGAAATAAACCAACATAGTATAGTATATAATGACAAGTTAACACTTTGGGGATAGCATGGCTGCTGCAGCATCTACTAACGTAACACATTTAAAACAGAGATGTTGGCATATATAAGTAGTTGCTGCTACCACCATCTATTTCACTTTCCTTCTTCAGTTGGTTTTGATCGTTGTATCGCCTGTCTATGCAACGTGGCTGGTGGCAAGAATGCAGCTGGATTGGACGAGGAAGGTTCCTGGCATCTTGCTCACCCTTTTCCTCATCAGTGTTGTATGGACATGGAAACATCTATATGAGGTACAATTTCTCTTCGCTACCTGATGCAATAGGTACGAATGATCGATCAAGTGGCAGGGCCCCCACTGTCACAAACATCATTGAGTAAAGTAAGTAGTTAAGTTGAGTGAAGTTCAGTGAGTAAGTGAAGTGTCGTGCAAAAATTGCGACATTGTTGAACTCGTGAAAGTCACAACTATTAGCCGCACATAATTATGTGTCGGACAATGGGCGCCTGATATACAGACAGTTTAGTTACAACAACCGCTCGGTCCGCTGCCGCCGCATCTCTCCAGAGCCACGTAGACCCCCGCCTGTGACGCTGTATTTATTCTTCCTGTAGCAAGCAATAGCGGAGAAGGCAGCGGAGTTAGCACAGAGCATTCCTCCGGAGTGTAACCCTCAGGAGATGACGTGGCAGCAGGCAATCTGGGGCTACTTCGTGGCCCCGTCGATGACCGTGCAGAAAAAGACGGCATGCGCGAAGTACCACGAGATGCTAATGGTCAACCCACTGTGGACTGTTCCCCCAACACAGGTGATTACTGCTAGTATCTATCTGTTTGTCTGTCTGCTTTTTCTTACCGTGATACGCATTGTGTTACTCTGCGCGTGTGTTTGCTCAGGCGGTGGCTGTCACCGTGATACACATCGTGTTACTCTGTGCGCGTGTGTTTGCTCAGGCGGTGGCTGTCACCGTGATACGCATCGTGTTACTCTGCGCGTGTTTGCTCAGGCGGTGGCTGTCACCGTGATACACATCGTGTTACTCTGCGTGTGTTTGCTCAGGCGGTGGCTGTCACCGTGATACACATCGTGTTACTCTGCGCGTGTGTTTGCTCAGGCGCTGGCCGTCACCGTGATACACATCGTGTTACTCTGCGTGTGTTTGCTCAGGCGCTGGCCGTCACCGTGATACACATCGTGTTACTCTGCGTGTGTTGCCTCATCGTCCATCCCCCCCCTCCTCCCGCGGCCGCCGCTATCCCCGCACCTCCACGCTCGTCGTACGACGCTGCGACACGCTCACCGTCCCCCCGCGGCCGCCGCTATCCCCGCACCTCCACGCTCGTCGTACGACGCTCCGACGCTCACCGGAGACGCGCACGTCGTCGTCGTCGCGTGCGGGGGTCGGCGGCGGGTCAGGTCCATGGGTAGCTCCTCCACGGAGCCGCCGTCGTCGTCGCCCACGCCTCGCGTTTCCTCTGGTCTCGCTGCATCTGCCTCCGTCTCGCAGCATGTCCGCTGCATTGCCACGACCTCCTTCTTTCCGCTATCCGATTGCGCGTCGCAACCACCGGCGCAGCGCAGGTGGCAGTGACCACTGGCCCCATCTATACTCGGAGTGGACGAAGGTTCACCATGACCACTGGCTCCATCTTTACCTCGAGTGGACGAGTGATCGCAGTGACCATGGGCTCCATCTATACCTCGAGTGGACGAATGATCACAGTGACCACTGGCTCCATTTATACTCGGAGTGGACGAAGGTTCACCATGACCACTGGCTCCATCTCTACCTCGAGTGGACAGTTGATCGCATTGACGATGGGCTCCATCTATACCTTGAGTGGACGAATGATCGCAGTGACCACTGGCTCCATCTACACTTCGAGTGAACGAACGTTCGGAATGACGAGTGGCTTCGCGATACTCCTAGTGTGTGAGTGTCCACAATCCCCGGTGGCTCCTCTATATGCCCAGCAGCTGTGTGTGTACAACAACGAGCAGCTATCTGTAAATAATGTGGCTCTGAATTATAAATTATATCGTTATTATAACGCCAAAACAAAATATATGTGTGGTTACCGTTACATGCCGAAAAAAAAGGGTAGGTAGGTAGGGAAAACATTTTATTTTCTTGAAATATTTTATTTACGAACCATGTCCGAAGGATGTCCGTTGTGCCTTTTGAAGCAGGCACTGTCCAATTCATATTTTCTTTATTTTAAATTATTTTTTATATTTTTTTTTGACTTTAAAGAAAATTGACAATAAAATGTTTAGGGTCGCTGGGAATAAATAGGGTCGGTCGGGAAACCGTAACCACACCTATATTTTGTTTTGGCCTAATTATAATCTGATACACGTTACACGTTCCACTTCATCAGCGGACTACTATCACTAATAATGCAATATATAATATACATATATATATATATCAGGGTTCTCCAAGAGCACTTATAGCCTGGCGGCCCGCCAGGCTATCGTCGAGCCCCGCCATCCTAAAATGCACCCGCCACTCTAAATATCATAGGCCGCCATGCTAAAATTAGCTAAAAAATGATAAACTAGGACCGTAAAGGCAGCTCCGCCATGCTATAATGAAAAGAGCTTGGAGAACCCTGTAATAATACTATATACCATACATCAGTTAGGTAGTTTGACAGACATGACGGAAAAGACGGGACCGACCAACCGACAGACAGATAAGAGACAGACAGACAGACAGGAAAGACAGGACAAACAGATGGTCATACATCATTTCCAGCCGGTCCTGGCGGAGTGACGAAAGGCCCTCTTCTCCCATCAGGCCCGGTGCTCTATATACCCAGCAGGTATGGAAAATCTATAACAAGAATAAAGGAAAGATAAATCACATCGCACTACACGTTATTATTAATATATACATATATATATATATATTATATACTATATATTATAATATATATTGCGATTTATTAAATTATAAAAATTGCTACAAATTGTGACAATCACATTTGTGATTATTTACTCCTGATAGATATATGCATATTACGTACATAATATACTATATTTGTGTAGTAATATGTATGTGTGCGTGCGCGTGTCGTTATGTACGATGCTGCGTGCGTCGTGTGTGGGTCGGCAGCGGTGCGCGCGTGCCGTGTGTGTGTGCTGTACGTTTATCGTAACGGATGCTGCGTTGCGTGTGGTGTGGGTCGGCAGCGTGGCGCGCGTGCGTGTGTGTGTGTGTAGTGTACGTTAGTGTACGATGCTGGTCGGTGTGTGTGGGTCGCAGCGTGCGCGCGTGCGTGTGTGTGTGTGTTGTACGTTTTATGGTACGATGGCTGCGTGCGTGTGTGTGGGTCGGCAGGCGGTGCGCGCCGTGGCGTGGTGTGTGTGTGTGTACGTTTATGTGATGCTGCGTGCGGTGTGTGTGGTGCGGCAGCGTGCGCGCGTGCCGTGTGTGTGTGGTGTGTACGTTTATTAGCGATGCTGCGTGCGTGTGTGGTGGGTCGGCAGCGTGTGGCGCGTGCGTGTGTGTGTGTGTT